GTTAATGAGAAAATGGAAGAGGGGGTGGAAAGAGCAAAGATACAGAGCATCCTGAGGGGAAAAAAACCCCAACCAACAATCACACACACATCTGATGTTGTCAAGAGATCTGAGATCTCTAAATGGAGCAGGACAGTTATGCCCACCTCTAACAGTGAACACCATGACAGTGAACCACCCCATCCTGATTGAAGCTCCACTGTAAGGACTTGTCTGGCATCCCAGACTGAGGGCATGATTTTCTTCTTGGAACTACCCCCAGAATAATAAACCTCACCACATTCATCTCTAAGTTAAGAAGGAAGGCTTTCTGGTGCCCAGGGTTGTGACAATTATCCTCAAAAGATTAGGGCAAGAATAACAACCTGGTACAGAAAATTCAAATCTGTTAAGCATTAATGCATAATAAAGGGCACTGACACAGGCATGAGGAATTTGTCCATCTTTAGTCAGGGTGGGAGCTCAGAAGAGAGGACCATAAAGACACTCGAGCAAAACTGAGTGGAGGAACTACCTACCAATGATGAGGGGGAGGAGAAGACAGAGAATACAGTAGGAATACAGAGAATACAGTAGGGATGAGAATTATGGGGTGGACAGAGGAGAAACTGATTCGGAAAGGTTGGTCACACTGGGCCACATTAAGACTCCGTATTTAGTTTTGAGGGTTTTGTAAGAAGAAAGTTGTTGAATTCTGCTTCACCAGGCTTAGCTTTATGAAGTCATGCATAAAAGTGCTGCAACAGCATGTGTATTCAAAGGCTAAAATGCAGGGTACCCTGGGAAATAAGATCATTTGATGCAGAAACCCCTAGCAGAGCTCCCTAAATAGTGTATTAACTTGTGTTTTGTAGCTAGTAAAATCATTAAACATTTATTCCACAGTAATATCAGTCACCACAATGTACAAGAACAGCATAATAAGTATAATCAACACATACCTGTGCAAGTCTCCCAAAGTCAGCAGAAATTGCTCCTTTATATTGGCTAGTGGATAAGGTCAGAAGTCTCTTAAAGGGTATGAATGACTCTAGCAACGATGTCAAAATCAAAGTTAGTTCAGGTCAGCTTTACCAGATCTACTTCTTTTTCTCCTACTGTTTGCCCCTTTTGTTTCTGAATAACAGTAAATGAGCCACTCTGTAGGAAGAGAGAATATGTTTCACATCTCTCAGAAGAGCATGGTGGCCCAGGTACGTGCATTAAATTTTACAAGACATGTAAGATTACGCATGCTTCAGATTTTTCAAAAATTAAATTTAGATGAAAAAAATAATATTAAAATTAACATACAGTGCATCTTCCAAGTGAAATCATGCAAGAACCAAAGATAAAGGATGGGTAGCTGCTGCCAAAGCTGGGTTGAGTGTTAAGTGTTTGTCTTATATAGCACTGCCCTTGAAACAAAAGCAGTAGTTATTTTAAGTAACCATAAGCAATACTCATGTGCAATTCAAAGGAGATCGGATATAAAGAGATAAAGATTAGAGAACAGCAATACGGCTTTCATTATACAATGTAATCCAGCGTGTCTGATATAACTGGATGTGACACAAATGTAAATAGCAACAGGTTGGGACGTACAGGGTTTTCCAAGATAAAGTCTAACATGCTTTTAAAAGTAACTTTCAATAATTTCAAAAACAATTTTTGAATGAATGTTTTTCAGAAAGAACCCCCACACACACATACACTTGCTAAAAGTATAATCTGCGTACGTAATTTGTCATGTTACACCAGATCAAACAGAAATGCTACTAGAGGGAGAACAGAGTATGTAATCTTGCAAATAGATGTATGCACCAAATATAAAGATCCTGGACGTCTGGAGATGCAGAATCATTTTAAGGAAAAACGGGACATTTGTGATGAAAGATTTTTAAGTTTAACACAAAGCTTGAATAGAATACTTGCTTCAGAACAGGAAACAATGACAGATCCATCATGCAGTGACATAGCACTCCATTACCTTACTGAACTACTATATTCGTATGTAATTTGCATAATGCCCAAAGAAGACATTTCACTTTTAAAAATAAATTATTTTATTAATAGCTTCAGTTGAAGAAATTAACATGACAAAGCAACAACTACCCACTTATTCAACTTACACTTAGGATATTCAGATTCAAAAGAAGCATCTATGCTTTGTTCAACTCACTATCCTTAAAAATATGTATGCAAGTGCTTAAAAGTAAGCATGTGACTAATACTAATTAGTTCCAAGAAGTTATTTTTGTAATATGATCACACAGTACAATGAACAATAGGAACTTTGCCCATGAATTTTGGGAGATGCTGCTATAAAATGCCACTACTTTACACACTTCTAAAGAGTAATTGGTAGCTAGGATGAGGCTTTGGCTACCATAGTTACTTCTCAAAATTAATGAATTGGGTCCAGCAAAATATTTTATTTCTTGAAAAAGAAAGAACTGTTTGTAGGAAACCATAATATTTTTCTGTTTATTCTGATTTATTGGAGAACGATCCCACCAAGTGTCTTCAAGAATGTCTCAATGTTTCCAAGTTATTATAATGTGTACCACAGCTTAATCTTTGGCATGTACTGATAAAGCTCTTCAGAAAAATCAATCTGCCCATCTCCTTCATCATCTCAGGACACACCTGTTTTTATCAATCACAAATCAGTGATCCCACATAGATGCCTGAAATATCTTAGTTTGCCTTCCTCCATCTCTATTCTGTTCCTTCTTCTCTCCTGCTCTTATGCCCCCCTTATGTCCCTAAATTATATCCCTTCATTTGGTGTAATATCTACTTCATCCTACTAATCATTTAGTAATTGAAACAAAAAACCCCAAAACATCAAAGATTGTAAAAATGATCACCGTCTGTAGAAATTAATTCAAGTAGATGATAATTTTAAAAGATAGACTATCTTTAAGAAGGCATTCTGCTCACACTATTTGCATAAATCTTTAAAACGAGGTTTACGATAACTGAAAACTCAACACAGTTGGGGAGTTAGTGAATGCTGGGCCTGTTTGAAGGGATAGTTGGGAAACTATATCCAGCAAATGGCAGCAATGAACCCTACAGCAGTAGCAACTCATACCACATTCCAGCCATGCTAAAGCATACAAAGGCAGCTCCTCCCTCACCTTCCTGTGCAAAGTAAAACATTTTCATTTAAACAATTAGAGTAAAAGGGATGTGAAATTCCTAAAAGCAGGCACTGGCCTGAGCTGACTCTCGGCTGAGACAGGTGCCAGCTACAGCTGATGCCTCCTGAATGAATAATAAGCCGTGTCATTCCAGCTGCACGGCTCATGGCACTCACAGATGCAACAGATTTGAGCCCACTCAGCAACAGCAGAGCAGCAGCCTAAGGGAATTTTACTTAGGTAAAACCTGGCAGCAGGTTGCAGGCTGGCTCGCAGGAAGAAGGTGGCAATGACACCGGAGTCTCCTCCAGTGCAGGACTAAATGGGCTGAACTAACAGCAGATTGTTGGTTTAAAGTCACCTGTTCAATGTTTCCTTATAGAAATGAGGAACACTCAGACTGCCAGTAACAAGTGCAAGACAATTTAAGAAGCAGCCAGTTTTTCCACTGCAATGAAAGCATGTCTGGCCTCCACGACTCCAGACTCCCTAATCTATTCTTTCACACCCATATGGTGTGGGTCTAAGCTTGTTCTCAGTTATGAGACTGGTCATCTTGTCTTCTTCCCAACTGCTCCGCTATTTTAATCACACTGTGCTTGAAATTAAGCATGCTAGTCTCTCCACAGTTGCCCAGAGTTGAACACTGGGGCAGCCCCAGCGCTGCCTATGGCAGCCTATAGCATGCACAGACACTGGGCAGCAGGCAGAGGCCAAGGCTAATAGCCCAGTCCTTCAGAAACCCACCAATTCATTCTTTACACTGGTGCAAAGGGAAGAAAGCAAGAGGAGAGGGAGGTGTGATGGCTTTCCAGTGCCACACAGGCACAGCCAGGTGTGGGGAGACAGGACAGCTGTGTAACCCATCCAGCCCAGACCTGAAACCTAGAAGTCAAATTACAGTGACATCCCTCTAACTACACAGCTTAAGCCCTAAGCTGGAAATTTCTCAAGAAAAATGAGTAACTCTGCAAGATAATGAAAATTACAACACACTTGGGGCTCATTCGGTTTGTCAGATATACAAGTTTTACCATTGGGCTGTAAAAGCAACCACACAGCAATGCCTGCCTATGTACAGGGAAAAAAAAAAAAAGACTGCTGCTGGAGGTCAAACTTTGCTGTCACCCAAGGCCACTGTAAGCCCAGTCAGTGCTGTTAAGCCCTGGCAGACCCAGGGCTCCAACCAGGCTGCAAAGACTCCTCAGTTAAGTAATTCATTGCCTAGGTCAATCTGTAAAACTTGCTGTTGATTTCTCAATTAAAAATCAATTCTCTATAATGTGATTTAGGCTCCTGGCAGAACAGGAACACAATAAACTCAGCCACTCTAACAGGATGACATTGCTATGATTCATGGTAAGGAGTCTCCAAATCTAAAACTTTTTTGGGATTTTTTAATATATATATATATATATATATTTTGCTAAGTGTTTAGTGTCTTTATGGTCCTGTAAAACCAAATATGTTTATTTGCTTTATCTTAAATTTAAAAATACAAATGGCTTTACTCCGCAGCATCGCGTAGAAGATACATTGAACATCATGTATCAAATATTTTTTAATGATTAAAAAAAACATTATTTAACATTTAGTGATCAATTCAACTACCGATTTTTTTTTATGCAGCCTTGGCACCGAAGAAAGAGGCAAGAGATACAAAGGCTATTCTTGTGCCAAATCGGGCTAGCAGAGCTGAAAACCATAAAAGACAACGCTGAAAGCAAACTGCCCATTTGTCCACGTAAACTTCAATAACTTCGGTTCTTGAGGGCTGCCTGTCTTTTCTCTCCCCCTTCCTGCAGTCCGCCACTCTGAAGGCATCCCAATGACCTTTCCGCATGAAGCCCATCCTGACACAAAACCAGTTACTTCTTTCTTAGATGCCAAACGCTGACTCGGTCGTTCTCCCGCATCTCTTCCGACGCAAAGACATTAACATGTACCGAGCCCGAGCCGCGGCCCACCTGGAAATCCCGGGTGGGGGGGAAAAAAGGAGTTTTTAAGTTATTTGTGTTCGCCTTTCCCACACCACGCCGAAGGACCGAAATCTTTTTGCCGAGAGAGGCTTCACGGGAGGGCAGGACGCGGGGGCACCGCGGGCCGAACCCCCCGCCTTCCCCCAGACCAGGGTCCCCCCACCCAAGCCCGGGTCGGCCCCAGGCGAACCCGGGCCCGGGCCGGTTCCCGCACCCGCGGGGCAGCGCCAGCCCCGCTCCCCGCTCGCCACCACCATCTTGGCTCGCTGTGCGGGGCAGGAGGAGGCGGAGGAGGAGGCGGAGGAGGAGGCGGA